TGACCATGCTGTATCGTTCTCTGATTAAATCCAAACTCGCCTATACATGCACAGTTCACGGCTCGGCAGACAAATCCAGTAAGGAGATACTCGACAGCAGCCACCACGGGACTCGCATCACCACTGGCATTTTCCGCACGTCACCCACGGCAAGCTTGCTGGCAGACGCCGAGGAAACGCCAGTGGAACTAAGGCGCCGCTCTTTAGCCATTTAGCCATGCGTTACGCGATAAGAATATACCAGTTTCGCACACACCCAGCACACAGCATGATCTTCTCCGCAGATCTGATGATATTATTTTCTTACGAAAGGGCTGGAAAGACACGGCTGCTATGTGTGCGTACAAGTAAATGGTTTCACGACGCTGGAGCAGACGCGCCCTAAACACAGCCAAGCCCTCATCCATTTGCAGAGTCGTGGTTAGCCTTACCTGCCACGTGTGACACGTCGCTCGCCAGGTTTTCCGAGGGATCGACGCGCACTGCTGAGATGAGACGGAAATATCAAAAGATCAAGCGTTGGACGAACAAACGGTCCGCGCGTTGCTACACGGATGGATTCAGGACGTAGCTGGATTACCGGATCCGTATTCGTGTCGCCGCTACGGTCTGCACGGATTGGGTTAGCGCCATTGGCCTTCGTTCTTACTGTCGAGCTTCTCGACACCCTGAATTGCCCAGACTGTATTTTACGACATGGCGCTCCGTCGTGCACAGCATACACTGACTCGCTCAGCACGGTATCATGCATCCAGAATGCACTGACGTCAGGCACGTGTCTGGCGCTGCTGGTCGCAAGCGAGCTTGCCAGCCTGTGACTGAGGGGCCAGCAGATAATGCTGGTTTGGATACTCAGCCTCGTCAGTCTGTCCGGAAACGAGTCGGCTGACCAGGCTGCAGAGGGAGTCACTCTGCTGCCGCCTAACGGGTCGGGTCAGGTCCTCCGAGTGACCAGCATGGGTCAGTCAAACCACGTGACTTCCGAAACGCTGACAAGGTGTGATCAGGAGAGCAGCGAGAACGACCTTAAGTCGATTGAACCTAGGCTAGGACATCGGTAGGTCCTAGATACATTGCCACCACTTCACAAATCCAGGAAAGAAGAGCCACTTGTGACTCGCCTACGCATTGGCAACACTTTCAGCACGCGCTTATTCCGAATGAGCAGTGCAACAGAGGCCCGTCTTGTGGTAGGTGCGGCGAGACTCTCAATGTCAGGCATACATGGGTTGAATGTACACTTCTGGTTGCCGAGATGCAACATTTCCTTGGACGCGAAGTAGCTCTGACCTCACTGATAGGTGAATATCCAGAGATTGGCCTACGTGATGTTCCGCTGTTTTTAACTACTGTACGACTTCACGCGGTGTACTCTCCTCAACAGCACCATAAACTCACTGTGCGAGTAACACGTGGCGAGAGCGCAAAATGGCCTAGGTAACTGACACGCCCCATAATGCCACTCAGCATCATGATTATCACTCCATGTTGTGCGGTGTTGCGTGAACAACAGGCATCGCGCAGCTTGCTTCTGCTGCTCACGTTTCCTGTTGTGGTTTGTTGTGCGTGTAGCGTACCCCGCTTCAACGTTACCAATGCATTTGTACATCCTGTGGTCTACATGTAAAGATTAAGATGGTCTTAGAGGCTGCCTTAACTCTATTTAGGTATTAACGCTGGTAATCGACATGTTACTGCTATCACAATTTTTTCCTTTTGCATTGAGGCCGCTTTAAGACTGATGACAAGTACATGGCATATATGGATGTCATATGAAGATGATTGGGTGTATTCCAGTTTTCTGGCACGAAATTTTCAACGTGAGCAAAACTGCTCGTAAGCAGGAGACATGTGTTGCCCGTCAAGAGCAACTCAAACAGTTAGCTGATCAGATCAAGGCTAACTGCCTGACTATACATTATCTGATTGCCCGACTGCCTACCTGCCTTACTCCTTGACTTCCAATATGCCTAAGTGTCTGACTGGCTGTCTGACTGACAGACAGTCAGGACTGGCTGCACCGACTGTCCACAAGTCAGTCAGCCTGTGTGTATACCGGGCAGTGGGTCTTGAGCTCTTGATTCATTGGGCCCTGACCACCTGTAGGTCTAGACCTGATGGGCTTCGACCACCTGTGGGACTCGATCCGATGGGCCCTGACCACCTGCTGGGCTCGATCTTATGGACCCTGACCACCTGTCGGGCTCGACATTATGGACCCTGACCACCTGTCGGGCTCGATTCGGTGGGCCCCGACCACCTGTTGGGCTCGACATTATGGACCCTGACCACCTGTCGGGCTCGATTCGGTGGGCCCCGACCACCTGTTGGGCTCGACATTATGGACCCTGAACACCTGTCGGGCTCGATTCTGTGGGCCCTGTCCACTTGGCGGGTTCCATCCGATGGACTCTGGGTCTCGATCCGATTTGTCCCGACTAACTGGCCGACTTCATCCGATGCGCCCTGACCACCTGTTGGGCTCGATCTTATGGACCCTGACCACCTGTCGGTCTCGATTCGGTGGGCCCTGTCCACCTATTGGGCTCGATCTGATGGGCCCTACCGATCACCAGCCAGCCGGTACTGTGGGTAATGGCCACCGGTCCGCCTAGTGGCGTTTGAGCATGTGTGGAAGCATGCTTTGTGAGCTAAAACTGGCTTAACAAGCGGGTCTATTTCTATTTCGTCCACAGGTATTCATATCTGTGAAAGTTGGAGGCATTCTTTTCAAGCCAGAACTGGTTCGAAAACAGCTATGTTAATAAAACTAACCAAATCAATAAACGCATTTCCATGTAGTCACCAGAGGCCAGATACGCATCGTCGTGGAAGACGAGACAACGTCCTCCCCGCTCCCGCTGTCGTCCGGCGAGGCGGTGGCGGCGGCTGGGGCCGGCGGTCAGTCGGCGCGGCCGCTGCTCCCCCGGCTGTGTGTCAGCGCGCCAGACGGCCGACCTGCGGTACCGTTACGGTCGGTCGGACCGTGCGGCCTGCATGCAAACCGACCTTAACGCGGCCGACGCTCCGCTTCGCGTTGCGCACGTGCATTGGTGCAAGCGCAACGCCACGCGTGCAGGCTCCGCCCCCCGCACGGGCAGGGCGCCACGATCGCGCTCTCTCCACCTCCCGCTATATTGGCGTATAAATTCTGCACCATTGCAAGCAGCCGTACATTCGTGTTCCACCACTCGTCTGCACAAGTAGCTAGGTGAGTTCCGACGACGGCAGCGCGCGTTTTCGCGGCGAGTCGACCTCTGGCGAGTCGGACTCGGCATGGTCAGCCGATACCTAGAGTCGTCGGCAGGCCGCCACATCTTGGAAGACCGCCGCCACACGGCGGCCGTCGGCTGTCCTGACCCGATCTGGCCTGACCTGACCGTGGGCCGGGAGCCGCGCGGTGCCGGCGACCAGACAGTGGTGCGGTGCGGTGCAGAGGACAGTGGTGCAGTGGTGACCGACGGAACTTCGAGTGGCGCCCGAGAACTGAGGACCGGCGGCGCACGCCGAGCCAAGTCCTAAGTCGTGAGCGATAGACGAGTTGGCTGTGGTCGCCGGAGTGAGATACTTAAGTAGCGCGCGGTTGTTTGTACCGGATGGCAATGAGCGGGCACGCCCCGTGCGCCAGAATGATTGCGCCGAACACCGCAGCCCAAGTCCCAGGGCCAGAACGTCCGTCACGAAACTGACCTTTTCCGATGTACTTATTCCGTTGATGAAGTTTCGTAAAAACAATCGGAAGGCATAGAACACCTAGTCATCCCTGAAAACTGCATTTATGTGTGAATTTGCGTGGACTAGTTTTACATCCACCAACAACGGCATAAAGAATATTGTTGTTCAAATATTTCGATGCAAGTATATTTTTACTGCTGCTAAGAAATCCATACCTTTTCTGTCTTACAGTAATCGACACAAAAACCAGAAAATCGCAATATTTTTGCAACAAATGGTACTTCGGAATGATTCAGTTCTAGTTTGGCATTAAATTGAATCGTTTAACGTCCTAATAAAACATACGCCAATAAAGGAACGCAAGCTATTCAGTTTCAAGGGGCGAAAAATGTATATTTGCAATACTAATTGCGATGTTCTGTCCAGGCCTACCGTGCGTCCCTGATTCCCCTATCAACAGACCCGCCCACAGAGTTTCTCGAATTGAACCTCATGGTGGTCGTCCGTAGATTTTCACGCGCTTTGGGTACACGGGAAGTTACGAGTACCATTTATCTGTGATCTGTGAATTAAGAACAGCGTTTGTGATAAGAGCAGGCCAGTGTGGTATTTTGTCTTTGCCATACGGGGAATTACACAACCTTACAACGCGTGAGGCTGGATTAGCCAGCTCACGCAACGTTTGCAGGGATTTTGTGACAGCTTTTGTCTTACATATGTTAAAAAGCTGTCCCATAAAACATATCACTCAGCGTAGCGTTGTGCGCGGCACTGCCTGCAGTCGCCTGACGCTCTGGTCTCTGCCGACAGGATGAGGCGGCTGCTGCTGTCGCTCTGTATGGCCGCGCTGGCCTCGGCCCTGGCTGTCGACAAGCCAGGAGAGACGACCGCCGCGCTGCGGGCGCAGGCACGAGACAGCTCCAGCCACGGCAGCCACGGCGGCGGCCACGGCTCCAGCCACGGCTCCAGCCACGGCTCCAGTCCACGGCTCCAGTCACGGCGGCGGCCACAGCGCCAGCTTCAGCTCAGGCGGTCACGGCGGCGGCCACGGCTCCGGCGGCAGCTCGTATGCCTCAATCGGCGGCAGCGGGTCTGGCCACAGTGGGGGCCACAGCGTGGCCAGCGCCTCGTACAGCGCACCGAGCACCTCGTACGCAGATCCCTCGTATGGCGGCTCCTCCGGCAACCTCTACTACTACTACTATCCGGTGCAGGAGCACAAGTATCCGGTGTACCACGAGTCGGGCGGCGGCAAGCCCGGCCTGTTCGGCATCCTCGGCTCCATCCTGCTGCCAGCTGCTCGTGCTCGGGGGCTATCCTCCTGCTCTTCGGCGCCATCGCCGCCATGTTCTTCACCAACACCAACGGCACCGGCCGCACCGGCGACAACGCCCGCCTCGACAAGCTTAACGAGTGGAAGAGCGAGGTGGAGCGCGTGTTCTACACCTACGTGGACGTTCTGGAGTCGGAGGACTGCGTGCCGCGCACCATGTGTGAGCTGGGCCTGTACGCCCGCTCCTACAACTTCGCCGGCAAGGACATGCTCTTGAGGTGAGACTCGACCACAGCACGCAAACTGTCGGCTCTGCTTGGTTCGGCCATTGTATGTGGATGTGCCATGCTCCATTGCCGCCGGGTACAGTTAGCCACAGACGCATCCAGAAAAAGTAGGGTAGGACATCTACTACTGACTTAACGGATGTGAGTTTTTTTTTGGCTGGTCTTAGTTTGATATCAGGCTTTATGGATTGTCGACAGCCTTTTGCTTCAGCAGTAGCAAATTCATTTGTCGGACTTAGGTGTCGCTGAAAAAACAACAGTAAACCCAGTTGTTTCCATTTTGTCTGTGTCATTAAGGTCAATCCAAACTAAGTGCTGCGCAAAGTCCTCAAGTATCACATTTTCTTTAAAAAAAACTCCCAGGTATGATTACCTTGTAACCATTGTGAGTCTTAATGCAACTAACTGCATTAGGCCCACTATTCGGATTTTTATCTCTGAGGGCCGCTCAGGGACACCGTGGGGTCCATATCGACGAAGACCAAAATCCCAACCACGGGGCGTCCTGTCTGGGAACGCTGGCAGGTGACCGGCCTCTGGTCTGGCTGGTGACCGGTGACCGTCCTCTGGTCTGGCTGGTGACCGGTGACCGGCCTCTGGTCTGGCTGGTGACCGGTGACCGGCCTCTGGTTTGGTTGGTGACCGGTGACCGGCTTCTGGTCTGGCTGGTGACCGGTGACCGGCTTCTGGTCTGGCTGGTGACCGGTGACCGGCTTCTGGTCCGGCTGGTGACCGGTGACCGGCCTCTGGTCCGGCGGGCGCCCTGGATCGGTGGTTCCGGCCGGTGTCAGTGGGACACGGCCGGCCTCTCAGCCCTCCACATCCGGGGGAGAGAGGGGAGAGAGGCCGGCCACGGTGCCGCCGCGCGCCGGCGCCTCAGGCGCCACTGGTGGAAAGCGTCCCGGCCGCGTTGCATGACCTGATTGAAAGTCATTAGAATGCAAGCTCGTGCTGCACCGCCGCTCCGCACGCCCCGGGCGTGAAGTCCGTTCTCGGACCGCTGCGCGCGTGCGCGAACAGGTGATGTGGGTCAGCGGGGTCCAAAGCAGCCTGAGAAGGGAAGGCCGAATTTCGGTATTGAAACCATCATAACCGCTCTGGCCTGATATGGCGTGACCAATCTGCAAGCAAGACAGCCGTGTGTCTGAATGTAAAGGTGTTCACCAGCTGTGGCCGTCTCCATCATAACCAATGTGAAAATCGCTGCTAGCCATGTGGCAGTCCAAGCCCACTGAAAAGCCCACGCCTTTAGACTAGCATTGATGATCTCGTCTGATCTGACGACAGCAAACGCCTGCTCGAAATTCGACATCTCCTGATTCGATCTGTGCATGTTCAAGCCGCACACACGTAGTGTGCCATAATATCCCCAAGCTCTCTGGTATAATATTGCCTGTTTTGCGTTTCAGAACTTAAGCCTGTTCTGTCAGTCTCTTACGGAAACTGTCGTTTCTTATTGGAAGCCAAAGAAGAAGCGTCATAACCCCGCTAGTTGGACGTCTCCTGACTTGTTGGCTGGGTGGAAACAACTGGGTTGGCTTCGGTGCTCCTCACACTACCTTGTCTCTCATTTTTGCGCATTTGCTTTGAGATTGCCCTTTTCATGCGGTTTGCTGCCATTTGTAACACAATAATTTACCTGCAAAACCCTAAATTTACCTATGTTGTTTCATCTGGCCTCCCAGCAGTTCTCACTTTTTCCTGGCTTTATCGTTTTACAAAGCCAATTCAGCCCTTACCCTCCAAAGTTATGAAACATGATCACGATTTTCAGCTCGACATTTGCGCTCTGACTCTCAGGAGAATTGCAGAATTGGGGTGTCCACAGTCTGACGACCTGCCCCGTGCCTGACTTACGACCTCACCGCCTCGGGCTGCTCACGCCTTCTGTCCTCCCCAGTCTGGCGGAGCATTACCTGCCCGAGATGATGCAGAACAACGCCCGCGTGCTGAAGAAGGCTGCCACTGGCGGTTACGACAAGAACCAGTGCAGGAAGATGTTCAAGTGCGAGCCGCCCACGTCGGCGTCGTAGGCTTACCTGTCGGCGGTGTCGGCCCAAAGGGACTCCTCCCTCTGTCTGAGGGGACCTTGCTTGGGCCGGAATGGCCTCTGTTGGCCTCAGGCGGCCTCTCACAATCTGAGAGGCCTCGCTTGATCTGGGGGGACTCACTCGATCTGGATGGCCCTAGGGAACTGCGTGGAGACTGGCAGCACGCGAAGGCAGGTTCCAAGAGGGACACCGATCCATCGCATTCGGCGAGGGCTCATCATGCTCATCTGAATCACCGTCATGTGGTCTGCACTCTTGAGTGGCGTGGGGTGAGAACTGAGGGTGCTGCAGAGCTCAATTCCAGGGCTGGCCGATTGGGAGCACGTCGTCGGACGGGCTTCTTCCTTTTCAGAGGGCTTTGTTACTTGTTGATGCCCCTCTTGCCTCTGCAACTCGTCGGTTTCTCTCCGCACTGGCTGGTGAGGAAATCTTCTTCGTCCGCAGTGCACACTCATGAAGGCGCAGGCTGTTGTTATAACTTTTATGTACCCCGATCGTTCGTTTCCAGTCGCCGTTAAAATGTCTGCTGATTATGCGTGGTGCTGATGTCGACATCCTACACTGCCGAGGCTAACTAACGGCTTTATACCTATCACTGCTGTCAGTGATTCTGCAAATACAAAACACATCTCCAGATACCGAACTACACCGCAGCTGTAGCACCAAATATGCCTCGTTGATATCAAACTTTGTCTGTCTTGTCTTAGTCCCTCCCAGAGTGTTGTTGTCCTCGTCCCGGTGTCATGTATTTCGCTGTTGTTTATCTGTGATCTCTCATGTACCGGGTATCTGTTTAAATGTTTGTCCATGGTATCCATGTGATGCGTTTGTACATGCTGTCGTTGTATCACAATATTTGTAATGTCCTGTATGCTACGTTGTCCTCTGTTACTCGTGTTATGTCCATGATGTCCAACTGTTTGTGTCCGAGCGCCGTTTCACGTGATGTCTAATGTCGTCCATATTCGTTGTCGTCGTCTGTGTTTTCTTCAGCCCGAGCTCAAGTCATGTTCGATACATTAAAATGTGGTATGTTTGCTGTCCATGTCCCGTACTAGCCCTTTCCACCCTTTCTCATGTTTATGTCCATGTCCCATGCAAACACTGCCTGTTGGCGTGTTTGCGAGCACGTCTCAAGCAAAAACGATTCATTTGTATGTTTGTTACTTGTACGTCTTAGCCCATCTCAGTCACATGTTACGTCATGCAATTCTTCATGTAGCTGCCTGTTTGTGTGGAGCAATCCACAATTATTTATTATTATGACAAGATGTCGTTAAAATGTTGGGGTGATCCAAATACACCAAACCTTTTAAAAGTGTGCTCAACGATCAACAATTTACTGAACGAATCACCGCTATCTTCTCAACGTGACAATGGTAAAAGGTGGCCGCCCACCAGTAAAAGTTGGTGCGTCGAGGAACGACCGAATGACGGCATCCGCGCACCGAATCTTAGAACACCGTCCTTTTATGCGCGCAAACAAGACTATCCAGGAACTTTATAGAACTAAAATGGATACGTCTTATAAATAATGGACAGTAATAATGCTTATTACTATTTATTTGCAGTTGTATTCTTGTACTGCATACAGAGCAGCATGCAAGGTCACAAACAGAAACAACGAACATAAACAAGACACATTCTCGTGGCATCAACCATCGGAAATATAAAGCTCAAGTTATCATGCAGATCGACGTCACCATAGCCCAAACGAGGCTTCTGATCGAGGAAGAGAGGTCCCCAGCCAGACGACATCGGATGTGGGTGTCGGAGATGCTCCATCAACACAGATCCTGCAGTGAATATGTGTAACGCCGTCCAAGAGCTCTGTGCTGCTGACCCGCAACGGCGCCAGCTGTACTTTGACATGAGCCGGGAGATGACTGAGGTCCTACTGGCCCAAATCGGATCACTGAGTAACGGCTGAACTATCACGCAGCAATAAATTAACCAGCTTCCGCGAGCCGATCGGTGTTGCTCAACGCATGGCCGGCATGCAGAGGTACCACTGGAACAGCACCTCGTCTACACAACTAACATCGTTTGCTTTGGAGTCGTTTGCGTCGGAGAAGATCATTTGCTCAGAGTGCCTCTGTGAGCGCCATTTGAGCTGAAGGCTTAGAAAAATTCATTGGATTGTTGAATCATGACGTAAACTTACTTCATCGCGATCTTGTCCTCTTGATGTTTTCCGCTGCCACACCGGATGGTTTGCCTGGTTCAATTCGTCAACCTCGCACGGGCGGCTGGCCACTTCTCAGGCGGTTAGGCCAAAAGCGGAGGTATTCTTTGCAGAATGCATGCTCAGGGTCCGGTCCAATTCTGTCCGCGAGTTCAAAATTTAATCCCGCTGCAAGATATTTTTCAACAAAATTTTCAACATTTTTTTAACAAAAAAAAAGAAAACATGCAAACAAGACCGACCTCAAGCTCTTGGTTTTTTACCGCTACGAGATGGGAATTCTTACGATAAAAATCTTTGGTCTTCAGTGACAAGAGACTACTGGTTTAACGGCGTAACGAAGCAAACTTTAGCTGCAATGAGAAAACTAAATTTACGTTCACACTCATGAAGAATATACTATCAACTGAATATAATTAATGCCTAAATGTCTCTCCGAAGTAGAAATACATCTCAGCGTAAATTCACTAAATCTCAACATCTTCTAAGGAAAACGTTGTCACGATAAAGCAATTCCTGCATGTTTAAAATATTTGACCAGTACCCCTGGTATACTGATTGGCGACTATGCTCTTCACTAGAACTCCCAATTTTCCAGAGTTGCTGAATCCAGCCATGTCCAATCCGTCACAGTATGAATGGTCCATTCCAAATTTGAATTCGGCTGCATAGCAATCTAAAAAAGATAAGCGTCAAGTTAAATTTCGCACCTTGCTTATGTCCATTCCACACAAGCCGTTCGGCGTCTATGATCGGTTCCTCGCTTCAGCGATTTCGCTTATGATGTGTATCGAAATTTATGGCTCTGTATGTATGCATCCCATGAACGATGAGAGTGAGAGAGAGAGAGAGAGAGAGAGAGAGAGAGAGAGAGAGAGAGAGAGAGAGAGAGAGAGAGAGAGAGAGAGAGAGAGAGAGAGAGAGAGAGAGAGATTTTGATCCCCGGTTGCTGAACATAGTCCCTGCACGCAAGTTATCAGTGCGTGTGGGAGAAAGTGTTGGATTTCAACAAAATCTAAACCAGTGATGATGATAAATAAAACAAGTATTTAAGTGGACAGTTCTAAGGGCTGTTTTAATTTAGGCAGCATTTTATCATTATCGTTCTCAGTGTATTGCAACTTAAAATGTAGGAATAAGCATTGTTTGCTGTCTGACAATCTGCGGAGGAGGGCAGTGTAACATCTCTACAATTCCCCAAAATGTGGTATTACCGTGTCTTGTTTTGTTTGCATATTTCATTTTTACATTTTATCATTCAAAATTGTAATTTTCATGTCATTTCCAGGTTTAACCCCCCACATTTCAGTTAAGATCACAATCTTGATTTGCCTCCTATCACTCTCAGAGATATGGTTGCACCACTGATTAAGCGTATCAACATTACGGTACAGACTTCAGATGACTTGCTTATCACAATCCAAGTCATGCTTGAGATCTAATTGTTAACGTAAATCATTTACATTTTGCAACGCATCAAGAAGCCGCAATCTATAAAACGCTGCCTATCGTTTACAAACCTGCCATATACAATCTGCGTGCTAGACTTTTAAACAAGCAGCCATCAGCTATTTTGGACCCTTCTTCTCTAAAAGAACCGCCATTGTGACCAAATGGGGGTGGGAGACGAGAACATGTCCTGTATGCAGTGGTGACAGTTGCTGAAAAGTACAACGCATTTAGTAAAAGGATGATGTAGGCAGATGATGTTACGGTATATGGCCTGAGACCACTTGCGTGGGTCAATCGCCAGTGTAAACAAATGATTAGGTTATGGCCCAATGAATGGCTATTATTGTAAAACCGATCACGAGCAACATACTAAGTTGCAAAAACGAGGGAAAATACCATGTATTTAAAAACAAAGGAATACATGATCGATGGTAAAATTCGAATGACGAGGCATCAATAACGCTTGTAGATCTTAGGAAGCTGTTACACTCATCGATGCTCTTTCTTCTTAAAGCAGTGGACCTCTTCTATTTCTCCCTGATGATCTCGATGCGCCTGAGGAAGAATTCCCTTGGTATGTATATCAGCCATCACCCGCAGGTGCGCATACAATCATCATCAGTGCACCTCCTTTCACAGGGGTGCGATTTCAAACGCCGGAGAGGTAAGAGTCACTTGAGGCCAAGGTTAAGATTACAGGCCGGACGATGCAGCCCTTCAAAGCCGCAGTTGTCAATGATGTTCTGCACATACATGTTCTGCAATGATGTTCTGCACTATGACTGCAGAGGCCTGGGTCCGAAACTTCTTAGGAGTGAGAAACCCCTTGTGCTTTCGCCGCACACCCTTACACTTGGGCTCGGGAACCCAGTGGTGAGCCATGTATCATCCCTGTCACCAAACGTGAAAAGAAGTCCGCAGGATCAGCACCGTACGCAGCGAGAAGCTACTTCCCCAATTTAACCCCTGATACCGATCTTGTTGGCTCATGTATCGTGGCACCCGCATGGCAGACATCTTATTCATGTGAAGATCATGAATAACAATCCAAGTCATACCACATGGTGCGCGAACCTCAGTCGTGATTCCTCTGATCTTGCAACGCCTGTTTTTCAAGATCGACGCTTACGCTTTCACAGCCTCGATCAGTTTGAGATTTGTGGTCTCAGAGGATCCCCCTGAACTAGGACCCATCTTCAAATGAGTCACGCTCATGAGTAGAATCGTCGGGCCACTTACCTGCCGTGGAGCAAAAGAAGACAGGTAAACTGGGATGTTGCATCCGTAGTTGCTATCCTAGTGCCTTTGAAAAGCTACAGTTCAGTAAAGTATGTTCATGTTGTTTTCATGGCATGTTCATGTTGTTTCCATGGCATGTTCATGTTGTTTCCATGGCATGTTCATGTTGTTTCCATGGCATGTTCATGTTGTTTCCATGGCGGGCATGCGCCAAAGCCAACCGCGCTGCCAAACTCAACTCTCTTTTTTGCACGTGATAAACATAATACACATATAAGACGGACGCATGGACATAAGCAAGTGCATCGGCAACTGAAACATTATATATATTTCTGGGAAGATGTGACCTCTCACCGGTCAGTTTCAGCTACCTGTCTGCCCGTACTATATTTGGAGAACTGCAAGCTTAGTTTGGTTGTTGGTGGATGTTGCTTGGTGCTGACTTATCTTCTTGTCCTGAACCATTAGCTTCGCGCTCTGAAGTCTTGGCGCACCACAAGTAATAAAATGCGCATCTTACAGTCTTATCTTGCATTAAATCTTACATCTTACATTAAATGCTTCTTTACGCATGAATGGACATTCCATACAATGCTTCGGAGAATGACAAACGGGCGGTTTATGGGGGGGGGGGGGGGGGGGGGGGGGGGCTAAGGCCTTCATTTCATATGAGGCGGGTGGGTGTGGGTATGACCAGGCCGGTATAAGGTGGTTATGGACATAGAAATCTTGCCTCTGAAAGTCTCTTGTGGCAATTACGGTGACCAATGTTTTCGCTAGACAGAATTCAACCATGCTGGCTTTGGAATTTACTGTAAAACAAACAAGTGCCAAAATTGTAAAGGAGAGGTCGGCGGATTTGATTCAAATTTGGTGTGTTGCACTCGGCTGAAGTGTGCGAACTTAACCCACAAAAAACACTAATATGGGTAGGGAGAAGCTTACTTTGACGTTGATGTAGTTGATCATTGACAGCCAGGTGGAAGTCATCGTGCCAAAAACCGTCGAACGTCAAGCATGTTCTATCCGAGAGAAGAATATCTTCTTGGCAACCCATTTGGATAAAGTGCCTCTAAATTACAGGTGCCTTTTAAAGTTTAGGTGTCTTTTACAGATCGCTCTTTCGTTCAGGTGTCCTGAATATAATTCCAACATCGATCGCCTATGACTAGCCGAACTGTGTCTAAACAGATCGTAATCATCCATTGCCGAGTTGTCAAATGAGTAACACGATTTCACACGATACGACGTCAGCATTTTGCACGAAATCTCGCGCTCTACTTGCTTTGCTGCAACAGGACGCTGCGCCACTAGATCGCGAGGCATGTTTGCAGTCATTGTGATGGTTGGGTACGTGAATAATAAAGTGCACCAAAACGGCAGCTGTTCGTCTGATATCAGGCCCTGGGAGACTGCTCGCCTGCAGTGCAGCGTCAGCCAGGCTAGCTCGCCCTGCAGTGCAGCGTCAGTCAGGCTGGCCCGCCCTGCAGTGCAACGTCAGTTAGGCTGGCTCGATGCACACCGCGCTGCTGTCCTTCACATCGTCCTCCTCTTGCGGGTACCGCATCAAGAGGTGACGTAACGGTGACGCGGAAACGGTAGCGTGACGCGCGCCGGCGCCACCCTCCGTGACGGTCACCCATTGTTTCGCCACCGTGGTGGCAACTAGAGCTGCAAGCCGACACTTTCGCCGCGCCACGCAGCCGCGACGAGCCGCCGCTGGACACAATGTCACGAGACCTTTCACCCCGCGTACTTCCGTGACGGGGGTGACGGGGGTCGGCGACTGGCCGCGCGTCGTGACGGGGGGCAGCAGTATCTCGTCCGCCGGCCCGCTGTCAGGTAGGTGCCCCGGGCGACCCAGAACGACCCTGCGCTGCGATCTGTGGCCCAGTGCGCGGACGTCTGCCTTGGCCCTCGGCATCAGCCTGTCACCAGCCGCCTCGTGCAGCACCGCCTGCCCGGCCAACGTGAAGCTAGTTAGTGAGTTTCTAATGGAGACTGAGTGTGCCGCGGGCAGCTTGAGCGGCGATGACTGGACGGTTTGACTTGCCCGTGACCGTGGCCGCGGACGGGCACGCAGGGCTCGAGAGTCACGCCGCTGTCCTGCTCCTGCAAATGCGTGTGTCGCACATGTAACAGCCGATGCGGAAACATGATCTGGAAGGCGAGTGCGCCTTCGGTCCAGCTCAGTATTGTTGCTGGCTACTGCGCCGAGATTTCTTGGGCTTCTTGTGAATGGATAATTTAAAGTCATAATTGAGTGAAAAGTCAGTGAAACGAAACCAATCTGACTTTGATGCGCTTCTTTACTGGGTAAATTGCTATACAAAGTGCATCAATCTGATGTATGTCATTCCAAATATACGTCGGGTACGACTTTACTGCAATTCCGTGGCTGGTTGACCGACTTCCTTTACATTTGTGCGCTACGTACTGCCATGACAGTCAAAACTAAGTACGCTCAACCCAGAGTCTGCATTACACATCTGCGTTAAAGGACCTATGTATCCCCATATCATCAGCTTGGAAGGCGTAAGCGTGCTAATGTGACCGTTCGCACCGTACACATATATGGCTGTAATGCTGGGTGGCGTTGGGTCTGCCAATGCCTGACAATTAAAATCGCCAAAGTGAGCGAACTACGCATGGGCCGCATTTTTGGTGACTGCTATAGAAATATTGGAAGTCATTATTATTTGGGATAAGTATTGCCAACAATAAGACGGGAAATGGCACCCACGTATGCCAAGGCCCAATCTTCTCCGGTCTGGGCCCCGACCCGTCGTATTCCAGGCCGGTTCTGAAAAACGTGACGGTGGAGCCTTTGCAGCCCCTGTGTCGAACAGTGAAAAGATCATCTATTTGTGGGAGGCACAGTCCCATATATCGCGCAGATTCACGCCTCAGCTTGCTCTGGCCGAGTTAAATAAGACGCTCGAAGAAGCGCGGATCCATGATGGCGCACGATTGTGCGAGATCGCCTGCACACATGGACCCGCACTTTGGCCAGTAACATTTTCCACTTTCCTCTCCGGCAGTGTTGGTCTCATGTTACTGTGGTGCCTGGTCGCCTAGTTCTGGATCATTCGTTCCCTATGTTCTTCATTACTTGAATTTCAATTTCATTACGTCGATATTGATTCCCAATGTGTCCCATTACAATCGAACGGGGAGGTGAAATAGTGGCCACATTTCAACTTCATGGGAGTTCGCCGCCTGATCCAACAGCCTACCGCATGTGAGCATTTAAAGGATCGAAGCATTCAAATGCCTTGCAAAAATCACAGCACAATCGAGCTTCTTGCTGCTGAACTTTTAACAGTGGCGCTATCAGGGGATGCATAGATATACTCCCGTCAAAGGCGTGTCTGGCAGGTTTGGGCCGGGGCCCAACGCTGAAGGTTCACATTTTCCGATTAGCTAAGGCGAGGCTTTCTCGGTCTACGGCCACGCTCGTAATAAATTTGATTAATTCTATTGTAGTTGCGAACAATCCACAAAGTGAGAGCACGATCGTGGAGTGGAATGATGCTGTAAGAGCGATCCAATGAAGATGAAGTATATTCTGCGAGAGGTGGACATTCCGGAGAGACGCTGCGTGCCCGACGGACATCTTTTGGTCACAGGCGCCCATCATTAGGCCATACGCCTCCAGGCGTTGACACTGTTCTTGGCCTTGAGGATCGTAATGATTCCCAGGATTATCTCCTGACCATTCTCATGCCGTCCAAAATATGGCTGTGAAATTTTTTAGTGCTCCTAACTATCCTAATTCACTAAATAAAGATCGGATCACTCCGATTTCCCTTGAAATAATTAATCTGATAGCTACTGACAACCTGATCATTCGAGTGAAATTACTAGGCATTACCTCCGAAGCACAAAACAGGAATGTCAGATACCATGACAAGAAGGCGAACTATTTAGACTGTCTTTAAAATCGGGGTACTGCTAGAGCTTAACCTCCTTCTTGCTGCTTCCTGATCATCACAACATGATTTTCTCGGGCATATCAAATGAAATTAGAAAAATGTAAGAATGCTAAAATGAGCGTTCAAGCTCCCAAGAACCGCTCAATTTTGGTCACATAAGGTAAGTCATGCGTACATCTTCTATTACTCTCATGAATAGGCTCTAAAAGATTATTGCCTTCGTGTGGAACGTTCACAAAGCAATAAAGACGGAGGCTAAATGGAAATGGAAATTCAAGCCAGAAATTTTTTTCTTGCAGCGGGATTGGGCAAAATGTGAGCGTTGTCATGATTGTCACCAGTGATGGCGTAGCTGAAAATGTACCTCCAGGTAGGCTGAAGATTGCTTACGCTTAACATAAAACTGTATTCAATATTTTCAATAATCATGCAACGAAGTTGAGGTATGAGAGGACCGAAATGAACGTGCCAGCTAGAACAATGTCTGAAATAGCGAGTCGGGGATGGTGTTGAAGTGTGTGACCCACTTTTGGGTCACATTTCAAAAACACACTCCAGTAAAACCTCTTAGGCTCGAGGAAACTCCGTTACCGAGAAGTGCATTGGTAAAGTCTGAACTAGTGCGTCATGCGGATCTTGTGATATTCCCATTCCCAAAGCCAAAGTGCGCCTCGAAAATAGCCACCGCGGCAAACGCCGCTGGGGAGAAATCAAGGTCATAATGCAACGTTGCGTTGCGCGGGATAATTGTTTCATGTTTGCATACGTTTTGCCCAAGCAGAATGTTTCAAGGTTCCGCAGCATCTATTACGCAATAGTTTTGACACATTAAGTGTGTATTAACATCACAGAAAGCAAACGCTGGAAAAGCGTGGGAAACGAAATACGTTACTCTCGTAGTGGTGGGCATGGATTCCAATAAAATTGCTCGCGCAGGAGCGGCTGCTCCAAATCCAAACTCTGAGCTTTTCAGAAGGATTGCAAGAAAATCGGCATCACTGATCAAATCTACGTGTTTGATGTAACAATAAGTTAAAGGCAAAAAAAAGGTGGGGTACTCCTTTAAGTAATGAAAATCTTCCGATCAGTCATTCTAATGCTCAACCAGTGACAGGAAAATATCGGCTTCTAACAATTGGGCCTTAACTGTCAGGCATCTTCAATGGCAAGATGATGTCTTTCTGACGCGCGCTTTGTTCAATGTCATATCATTATTGTTTGCTTATGGAGTTTGCTCGGCTCCTGTTCCTTCAGATATGGTCCGACTGACATCTCTCCTGCTGGGCCTCGGCCTGGCCGCCGGGAAAACGATCACGCCTTCCCAGACATCAGCCATCGCCACCGCCGCCACCAAGGCGGCCAAGACGCTGCAGACGCCGACCCAGAACCGACAGGGCGCCGTCCGCTTCCCAGCCGCGCCGGCTGACCGGCAGGCGTTCCAGCAGCTGCAGAAGGTGTACCAGAGCCTGCCAACCAACGTCAAGAGCCAGGCCGCGTCGCCGGTGACGCCGATCAACAGGGACGGGGGACACCACCACTCCAGCTCCTCCGGCTATGTGCAGCCGAGCCATGGCTACAGCCAGCCCAGCGTCGGCTACAGTCAGTCTAGCTACGATGACTCTGACAGCTACGGCTACACGGAGGCACAGTCGTACAGCAGCGGCGGCGGCCTGCTGGACAACCTGGGCAAGTACGGCGCCATCATCATCCCGATCCTGCTGGTCATCGGGCTGTTGTTCCTGTTCCCATCTGTGGTCAACGTCTCTGGCACCCGGCGACGACGCGCCGCGGCTCCCGTGGGTAAGCTGCGCAACCGCCGCCGGCAGACCTGCAAGCTGGCTCGCCAGAACAGATCGCGCCGTCGTATCAGGACACGGGACAGGCCAGACCAGGACTGCGCGCGGTACACGGCCGGTTGCCCTCATCTTGCAGCGTCATTACGAGAAAAGAGGCGTGGATCTACGTCCGCCTTGCGGATACGGGTCATCATGTGCTGAGCATTTATCCCGGCGAACTTGCGCCGTCACGTCCGCCTCGACGACGCGCAGGCGTCGTTCAGCTCACAATGGAGCCGAACGGAATCCGGAACGCGCTTTTAGACGTTTCTGCAGGCCTTTGGTGTCACAACACGTAGAAAACCTGACGCGTTGAGCCGCATACGATGAATGGCAAGTGACGAATGATGCATGCTAACCGGGCGCTAGCGCGCTAAAAACCCGCCGAGTTTGCTATCTGCAATCAGCCGTTACTGCCCTCTCTCGGTGCATTCTCGTTTTTGCATGAGCTATACTAGGCTGCACTGTGAAGAAACTGGCCAGCCTTCAATTCACTCAAAAGCAATTTTAGATGATAGTATTTGAGAGCATTCCTTCAGTCCCTAAGGCGTGCTTTGATCAATGGCAAATGGCTTTCATGAGTACAAGCTTTTGCAACCTAGATCAAGATACCAGAGAGAGAGCAAAACAAAAGACGAAACCCATTTCTGTACGTCAACGCCAGGCTGTTGTTATCGCTGTGCATTGTTCCTGGCTTGCACACTGACTGATACTAACGCCTCGATCCAGATGACCTGGATGATCCGTCCGATGACCTAGTGTACCGCTTGAGAACCATCTACGAATCTATCAGCGAGGACCCGCTGTGCACCAGCCGGCTGTTCTGCGAGCTGGGCTCGGTGGTCGGCGACACACCCTACACTGAACGCATCCTCAAGTAGGTTGGAGCGGAGCCGCCGGCACGGTGCCAGGACCTCGCGGGGCGGGCCGGTCTACGTCGGGACCTTGCGATATGGGCTGGTCCTCGTCGGGACCTCGCGACACAGTCCGGTCCTCGTCGGGACCTCGCGGTGCGGGCCGGTCCTCGTCGGGGCCTTGTAACACGGGCTGCACACGGTACATCCCTTATAGCACGAGTTTTGTCTGACTTTTGCATGGGTGTTTTCAAAGCGGACTACGCCAATTGACGGAATGAATGCGTTACATGTAAAATGGACTGTCAGACACCTCACAATAGTTTACCGTGAGCATGGAAACATGACGCTGATGACATGAACGTCACGGTTAATGAAGATATTGCGTGAGTGCCGGCACATATAAGTCATGTAAAGGACTAATGGCAACGACGCACTTGGCATAAGGAAGAAAGGGCTGTTCTTTTTTTGCCTTGTGAGTTAAAACACCTTACGTTGAGTTAACAACCAATGCTTTACCAGGAGACACTGGTTAGACGACATTCTAGTGCTTAGTGACAACTACATTGATGGTACTCGACATTTCGAGCTGCGCTTATCCTCGAGAGTGGCAAGGATTCAGACAGATTCAGCAAAATATTGCACTTGAAAAATAAGACACGTGAATCCAGAAAATGTTCCAAATCTGTGCAGACACTACCACTAAAAGATGATAAGAGGTCGCGCTGTCTGCGGTAGATAAAGAACACACTCCGTTCTTTGACACGTCCCAGTTTGCAGTGCAAAGGGGTGAAATAAGTCATTTATTTAGAGGGGCCGCCTAAATCAAAGTTTCACTTGATGTTAATAAGGCCTTTAGCTCCTTTTTCGGAATTATGAGTTGAAATCAGTTAATAGCCTTTATACAACTTTATTTTAACAATCGAAATGTCCTTTATTCCCAGTCAACTTCGCATTCAGACACTTATAACTGAGTTGCATCCAGATGAGAAGTGGGAGTGAGATTTCCACAGAAAAAAAGCTTCCATGAAAGATGCTATCAAGGCTGAACAGTGATGAAGACCACAGATGGCCGATAAGCTCCACGTGATTGCCCTTGCTATTAAGGAAGCATTATCTCTGACGTCTCAACCAACAATTTCACGGATATGTGGGCCACCTGTCAAAGCCTATTCTTACAGGCGCATCGGGCGCCGCGCTTCACGCTGACGAAGCAGAACCACTCCGACCATGACCTTGCGTGTCACGGCGTCGGCCGCGGTCGGCGGGCGGCGCGCCGTCGCGTCTGCGCCGGAACCGCCTCCTCCGGGCGCGATCAGCTCGCGCGACCTTCAGAACCAACCTGCTTGCAATATTCCACCCCTCCGGCTGTTGCTGCACTTCGTCCAGTGAGGCAGAGATGAGCGACCGGGCAGGCGCGGCGCGTCGGGCCCTGACCACGGTCGCGGCCGAGCACGCGCCGTACTCCGCCCGGCCGGGGCGGCAGTGGACACGCTCTCAGCGAGGCCACGCGCTCGCACCGTACGCTTGCTGCGCGATTGGCGTGGGAGAGCAGGGACTGGTGCGCAGTGACTGTGGGCCCTTTACAGTGTTGTCTTACCGGATCATGATACGTTTGCTTATCCGGGGATATTTACGTCCCACGCCCACGTACGCCTGGCATGCACGAGGCCGGTCAGCCCCTCTGTGGGGGGGGGGGGGGCATTTCTTGGCGACACTTAGGCATCGCTGAAATACGGGCAGCTATTTCCGATCACCCCACGCTCATGGTGTGCTCACTCAGGCGTTGATTACCTGCGTCGGACACACGTGCGACGCACATGACCCCAGGCCATAAGCCAAGCATCCGTTGCGTCGTAGTTTGCTGAATTCGTATACTTTTCGACGTTTAATGCACAAAGAGTATTCTTTTGGGGAGGAAGGGCGTCTGCAATTTTGACTTATTTTTGTGATGGTTGTAGGCGATAAGCGGTAACACATTGATTGTAATTAGCTTGCATACCTGACTGTTCAAGATTATTTAAGAGGATAATTTGACCTATGGCATGACTCACAATTCGACGGGCAAGCCGTTTTTTATCTCAGCCTGGGCATTGTGGTGTACGTATTGCCTGCAGATCACACTTTTCCTCATGACGTCAGCTGTTTTTGAAGCGCGTCCGACGCGCAACAAAAGGCGGCCGTGTAAGGAAACCTTCAGGCTCGGTTACCATATTGACGATGCGCGTGGTTTCAGGTATATCGGCGTGTTCTACCCCAGCAAAAGCACCAATATGCTGGTGATGAGGAAAGCGGCGCTCGCAGACGATCCCAAGTGCCAGCTGTTGGCGTGTGCGGCCTGGGAAGATGAGTAGGAGACGAGCGGTTGACCTTCCAACCTTGCGTGGAAGGCAGCAGGCGGGCGACACTGGCTCGACGCCGCGGTGCGACTAGAGGAGGGAGTTGCGGTGTAGTTCAGCTTGACGGTACGCGTAAATACTCATTCGCTGCGCTCCCCGTGCTCCCAACGGCTAAGACGTGACTTCCCACAGTCCCACACATTTCCACATCTCTTACCCATGCAGCTGCAAGGGGTGAGTTGATAACGCACGCTTCCGTAGGTGCTTCTGTTATATATTAGCTTGAATCTTGTGCATTAACCAAAGAGTTGTGATTGAGCGTGAGCTTGTGCATGCAAGGCCAATTTGTGGTATTTGTTCTGTTACAATACTTTGTTGGTTTTAAGATAGCACAGCTTCCATGGACAGTCAGGGCTGTTGAAGAGGCCGATCATGCTGTTGACTCATCACATTAATGAAGTATTTATTGATGACGCGTATTGATTGATGCTTATCAACTTCGTAGCTATCTCTTTGTGTGTCAAATAAAGCGACAACAATGGTGTGAGCGCGGGCTCGGTCACTTGATACGCACTGAAGAAGTCCTGGCCTTATGAAGACCGCTCCGTTTTGGACCGGCTCAGGGCATATTCGGTGAAAGTCTCAGTGGAGGGCCAGGTAAATTCCGATCTGACCAGCATTATAAGTGTGGCGCACTTCCTTTTCAAAATGGCGCTTGGATGCCAGGCATGTTTCTTCGGTTTCTTTTAAAGGGACTGGTCTTGGTTAACTGCTCTGGCGCAGTCCATAATTGGTGAAATCTTCGTAGCTTTCGTTTGCGCTGGGAAGAGTACATATCGCAGGCCAGTCGCGCTGCGTATCAGAAACAAATCCCACGTTTTCTTACGCTGGAACCATCAACTCTGTAGTGTTCGCTGTAACATGCCAGCATTTAAGAAAACACAGGAATATCATTCACGTAGCAACTGTATTAGCTTCAGAGGTCAGCACCGTGTCTTTGTCCGGGCGGAAGAGCCGTGAGAACGATCGCTCGAGCTTTCCACTCCGCTTTTTCTACATCGGTGAAAATCACCTACAATCGTAACAACAACAGCTGTAACAAGTAACAACAAAGCAACAATGAGGCTTGATCAGCGGCGAACCTGGCGACATATCACAGGGCTTGAGCTGACATCCTCAAATGGTTGACTGAGGAGTAAGTGTCTAAGTACGTGTATGAGTCTGGACCATGCCTAAGGAATAAGAAGTGGTGCAGACCATTGTGGAAACCCAGGCTTGAGAAGAAATTAGGAAACATAGCGGAAGGGAACTGAAAAGTCTGTAGATACGGTGGGACAAATACAGGCCTGCTAATAATAAATAAACTACTGTGATGAACATGAACACAAAAGCAGCACGGACGTGACTGGGGACGACGATGAACGCGATGAACGACATTTAATAACACAAGGACTAAGAAAACGGAACACAAACAGAAGCATGTTCAAAACGCGTGTGACAAAAACACGGGAGGCACAACATGACAAGTCACAAACAAAACAGTGCCCAGAAAACAGCGGCAGACACACATACGACAAACGAGGGAACATAAAGCCGGACGACACAACCAGCGGCCAGAGCAGCGCGCGCAAACGCGGCAACAATTAAGACCATCAACAACGACCAAGACATAATTGCACAAATGCACAACATAAAAAAACAATGAAAAAGCAGGCAAGAAAGCATGCAGACAACCGTCTGAATTGCGAACAAACCGGCGATAACGGACGCGGCACCTCCGCTCATGCGCAGAGCGCACACACACGCATACCCTGTGGATCGATTCGTATGAGTTACCACTGAGCATGAGCTACCACTGAGCTCCTACCCGGGTCACACACACACCTCACGGGCACGGCATCAACACAAACAACACGCACGGCGTTCTCCTCTTCAGCACCACCACCTCAGACGTTTCTGCTGTTTGGCACCGGGCCAGCCGCACGCGCCTCCGGCTTCTCTGCTTCCTCCGAGCCGGACAGACCTGAAACCGAGCCGGATGTCAGCACAACCGCACGGTGTTTCCCATCAGCGAACGGCCGCGCGTCCATAGCAGTCATGAGCGGCCGTTGCGGCATGCAGCCAGCCACTGGCGCCCAGCGACACGGTGATATCTTAACCTCACTGGCGCGACTGTGCAAAGGCGTGGCGCAAGGCCGACCATCTTAAAGTTACTCTAAGCCCCGCACGCAGTATGCAAGATCACGAGTGGTGACGAGTGAGGGACGCATGCGACTGGAAGATGCATGATTTTCTGAGACATATGTCGCATAGCCAAAGATCGCATAGAAGCATAATCGCGCCGACGCAGAGAGTTGCAATTCCAGAGAAGCAGAAATCTACATGCTCGCTGGCTCGCCTGGCCACCAGGCGCACACACCGCATACCTGCCCGTCTACCACCGCTTGGCGATGGCCCGCAGCGCAAAGGTGGCGACCCGGTTGAACTCCTGGCTGTGGATGAACTGGTTGACCTCGTCGGGTATCGCGGGTAGCAGCTGGCGGCCGTTGCCGTTGTTGTTGTTGTCGTTGGCGACGTAGGCGGCTGCGGCCAGCAGCAGCAGCAGGCCGATGCCGATGACGCCAGCGATCAGCAACGGGCCGGCGAGATCCAGGCCGCCCCCTTCCTGCCGACGGCCGGACGGCAGGGATTAGCACGCGGGGCAGTCACGAGTGTCGCCCCTCTGTGTCACCTGAGCGAAGGCGTCAGCTGGGTCCACTCGGAGGTCAGGCAAGTTGATGGGACGACGCTAGTTAATATCATGCGGCCTGCTCGCTAATACGTAACAATAATCCAGGCTGTGCCCGCAGTGGCGCAATTGAATCCCAAAACCACCGGCGGGAGATCCCCGCCCACTGAGGGCAGCGCGGTTACCCGCAGCAGGGCAGCCAGGGCCGCGCTGGCCGTCTCAACACCACCGCCCTGAGGCCAGACCACACCCGTTCGGCATGAAATGCCGTGGTAAAACATCACGAGCTCGCTGGTCTCCAGATGACCTATCGTCCTTTGTTGCGGGAGAATGCAGCAGTTAAAACGGGTGTGATTGGGCACGGTGTGGACGGGCACAACCGGCCCGCACAGCGGGCGTTTGTGGCGATTCCGAAAGGCTTCACTTTGTGATTTGACACGATCGGATAGTCACGGCGTCGTCACCTCAGCCTGTTCTGGTAGGGGTCGTGTGCGACCACCGCCAGCTACAGTCGTTGCGATGGCCTTATGTTAACTGCTGGTACGTAGCCTCAAAAACAGCGTGACCATAAACTGCCAGCGCTGACCCGAGCCGGCCTATGGCAGCTCCCGTACCAATGGAATATTACCATTGGTGGGGCCATATTACCGATAATATTACCATATTACCATTGGCTACGTTACCAGCCACCCGAGTGAAAACACGTAATTATCACGATGTAGACGTGAATGTAAGCCACATAAGGAACAATGAAATTTTCCGAGATAGCTGCTAGGCAGAGCTGAGTAGGAACCGGCGCGGCCACCGGGGCCGGGGCCAACGGCCCTGTTTCCACCGGCTGATAGCACGAGGACTACATCGCGTACGAGCCTCCTGCCGGGAGACGTCTCTATTGATAAGTGCGTCCGTAACCCGCGACGATGACATCTCAGACGGCATTGTTCGGTTTTGTTATCGGAGATTGGACAAGCACCTGTGCTAGAAATACGTACTCCACCTGTTAGCGGACCATTCTCATGTCGACAGTCGGTTGAGTGAATAAATAAATAAAGAAAAACAAAAAAGTTCCTGAATTTCGGACCGCTATACCACTGGCTGCCGGTCCGCCACGCGAGCCGGTCGAGGAAGGGCACTGTAACGGCTGGCCGATGTCAGGCCTGATGCGATCACATCTGGACCCGGCGGCGGGGACATGGAGCAACTGGCCGCCCGGCCGCAGGCACCGCATAGCTGACAGCCTTAGGCTCATTCTTCCGGACTACGATATTCCGGGTTCGTCGAGTGTTGGTATGGAGCGGTGCGACGCAGGATTAGTTGACAAGAGGGCGTGGCACGCTGTAGCGTAGCGGCCCGCAGTGTGGCGGAGACGCAGCAACTCTCTCGGCAGTTACGCTCGCGGATTCCGTCTCTGTTCAATCACACAACTCCCATAGGCCGATTACAAAACTGGAAAATGACGCGGGGCACCTAGCCCCCACAGGGTAGAAAGTTCCGCCTGCGGGAGGACTTGAACCCACACCAATGTCACATATTCGATCAGCGTAGTAACGGAGCAAACTGCTGGCATTCGCGCTCTTCCGTACGCAGCAGAGGAACGCTCGTCTTCGTGTGTTACTTCCATTCGTGCTGAGAAACGACACGCTCATGATCTGAACAATGGTTACGTGATCTACGTGATCCACATGATCTACGTAACCAGGCTGCGTGATCGTAATCGGATGTTATTCCACGGCTGCCGTCCAGCCAACCGACATACTGGTGTCTAGCGATGTGTCAAAGTTACTCCTAAACCTCGCCGGCTGCCGGAAATAACTTCTGATCAGCCTCGGAGCAGCCTGCTTCGTGTGGTTAGACGTCCGACGTGAAATGAGGTCCCAGTGCTCGTCCGATTTAGGAATACAACTGCCTGGTCTTGAGGGTGAGCCTGATGCAAAGGCCTCGTGTCCCTCGTTTCCAGAGTCAGAGAGGAAATGCTGCACGACTGTTGTCGCGCTCACGTCTCGGAATATCTTACATGACGCTTGCTTATCGGTACTAGGCTCCACATCCCTATATTTCTATCGCCAAAAGGCGCGGTGTGTTTTAGCAATCCGGTCTTGTGTCGTCTATTGTCGTTTTTACTTACGTTGGACGCCTGGTGCTCCTGCACAGGGTAGTAGTAGTAGTAGTATCCAGTGCTGCCAGATCCGCCGGCGCTGTGGCTGGAGGGAGCGGCGTAACTGGAAGCTGGCACGGAATGCGACGCAACGTGGCCACCGGAGCTGTGACCACCGGAGCTGTGGCCACCGGAGCTGTGGCCACCTGAGCTGTGGCCACCGGAGCTGTGGCCACCAGAGCTGTGGCCACCAGAGCTGTGGCCACCGGAGCTGTGGCCACCAGAGCTGTGGCCACCGGAGCTGTGGCCACCGCCGTGACCTCCCCCGTGACTTCCTCCGTCTCCCATGGCCAGACCCACACAGGCCAGAACGGCCAACGCCAGGAAAGCTCTCATCGTCACCTTACCTGAAATCAAACGGGCAGTTTAGCGAAGGCACACGACGGTGGGCCACCGGTGGCGGAACGGCTCATCGAACACGCGGCGCACGCACAACAGTACCGCGCCGGCCACCCGGCACCGCGCCGCCGCCGGCCGGGTCGCCTCTGCGCGGAGCCGCGTCAGCACCAGGCCAGCACCGGCCTGACCGCGCCGGACCGGCGGACGCGAGCCCCCGCCCACGTCCAGCCGACGGCGTCTCGGATGACTCCACTTGAGCAACCACCCTAGCTGCGGCTGTCGCTACGACTGAACTGCTTGGCGGCCCTCGACGATTTTTCAACTG